GGTGAGCAGGGGGACACTCTGGTCCATCAGAGACAGAAGGAGGGCTGGACGGTTCCCTCAGTAACTCACTGAGAATGAAATCTAGAGCAGCATCCATCTCTCCCAGCTCCATTTGCATCACTCCTTGCTCATTCTCTGTACCGAGGTCCGTTTCAGGTACAGAGATGTTCTGTACGTCTTTATTGCTCTAGAAGAAGACACACTGATTTAAAACTAAGAACAAAGACTATGTGTGACTTTTACTTCACTGCATTCATGTGACAGCTATGGTGACTACTTGTTTTGCACAATTAAAAAACACATGATCAGTTCATAAAATATTCATCCATCCATTATCTATACACTGCTTAATCCTCTCGAGGGTAGCGTGGGGCTGGAGTCTATCCCAGTCTTTACTCAGTGTCCTACCTGTCCCTGGCTGACTGTCCCTACCTGACTGTACATGTGAGCTGGCTGTGGGCTGGCAGGAGCAGCTCTCAGTGACGCTTCCTGTTCAAAGACAGGACAAGCTGCTGTGGTCTGGTTGTCTGCTGCTGGCTCTGCACCCCAAGCACCCCCAAGCATCTTGTTCATAAAGAAATCTAGAGTGGGATCCACCTGTCCCAGCTCCATCCACATCACAACTCGTTCTATCTCTGTACTGAGGTCCATTTCAGAAACCGAGATGTGTAGTTCTTCTTTATTGCTCTAGAAGAAAGACATTCATTTAAAACTAAGAACAAAGATCATGTGTGACTTTTACTTTACTGCATTTATGTTAAATCTACACACGATGATAAAATATAATTCATCTGGACAGAGCAAATGATTTAACAAAACATGAAGAACTTAAACTTGTTTTCAGTTACTGACCAGATTCTATAAATACTGCATAGAACCAAAAATCATCAATTTGGAAAAATAATCCAACATATCAAGCAAATTGTCATAGAAGTCATCTGTATTTTCACTTTAGTAAAACACTTAATGCAGCTCCAACATTTAACTGGACAATATAGAGTTTTCCTTTTCTTGCACTGCTTTTCTGAGCGCTCTATTCTGAATGTTAGGGATAATAATAAACATCACATTTACTCGACAGCTCTAGATAGTAGACTAGCCTGAAATGTACAATCAGGTTATACAATATGGTGTTTTGTTATTAATATAACTCAATATGGCCTCACTTCAACCAGCTACAAATCAAAATGCTGCATCTAAAGTACCTATATTAAGTCCAAGTTGCCAATTTCCAATTACAGTATATCAATTTTCTCCTGCTTCACTGACTTCTCCAAGCTTATAATAACAGCTGCTCACGTTCAAATCCTCTGGTGAAATGAAGCTGAACCAGTCTTCAGGTTGGACAAACAGGTGTTGCTGTGACCTGTTGACCAACACAGTACATCAGTGTCATTATTTCTCCAGACACTTAGAAACCTGCAAATAAACCAGGGCTGAAATGTCAACGTGGCTCCTAAAGAAAGGATACCTGTCCAGTTCCCTCAATATTCCTGTTTAGTTTCACCATTTACATTCAGTGTTTTTGGTTCTAATATACAGTCGTCCTCAAATGTATTCATAGCCTTCCATTACAGAAAAGGCAAAATTCACAATAGTCACTCAAATAACTTGAAACTAAAAAAAAGTAATAATAAATAAAAAATAGCTAAATTATAATTTAGTCAAATAAGACATTGCTTTTGAATTTTGCTTAAAAAGAATAATCCAAAAAAATAAACAAACAAAAAACAAACAAACAAACAAAACTGTTCCGGACAAATTAGAGCACTTTGCTGATGAGCAGTGGGCCAAAATCTAAACACCTGTCAACAGGTGCAGAAGTCTGATGGAGAGTTACAGAAAACACTTGATTGCAGTGATTGGCTCAAAGGGTTGTTCAACAAAATATTAGTTTACAGGTCCCATCATGCCTGTTTGCTTGTTGTTTTTTTATGTATATATATTTCTGTTGAACCACAATTCAAAAGCAATGTCATGATTTTCAGAACATTTTTATTTATTATTACTTTTGTCAATTTGAACTTATTTTGGTGACACCTGTGGTTTTTTTTTCCTTCTTTAATGGGAGGGTATGAATAAATTTGAGGACGACTGTACCTACTTGCCAGTAGGGGACAGAGTTCGATGTCAGTGGCACATAACTGCAAGTAATACAGAAAAAGACAATTTGCAGCCTGTAGTCTGAGCCTGTGCTTTGTCATTTGTTATGTTGTTCTTGGTGAAATCTTGTATGTTTCACCTGCGATTACTGAAGTAATAAAAAGTAGAAATGTGAATTTTATTGTCACAACACATAAGAAAAAGGAAAAGAAAAGACGTGTACCGTTTTGTGACTGTTATCAATGAGATACAAATGTTTTCACATCAGTCCCTCAAGCTTAAACAGTCAATGTCAGTCCAGCTCAGGAATTCAGCTCAACTCTCAGCTTCCTGATTTTAACCTGTGTCAATGAGAAACGCCAAATACAACATCACAGTAAACTGACTGAACAAAGGAAACAGTTTTCCACCTGTCCTTATAGGTTTGTGAAATAACCCAAAAGTTTTGCCACAGATCTGAACTCTCCCTATTTGAGGCTGCAAAATGTGTTTAATCTTTCAACATTAAACAACGTTCAACTTCCCACTAAAATCACTCAGTTTCTGAAACAACAAAGAAGAAACAAGTTTGTTGAAAAGCCAAAAAATCTTCCTACCTGAAACTTCTGACTTCATCCATCCATCATCTGTACACCGCTTAATCCTCACAAAGGTCGCAGGGGGCTGGAATCTATCCCAGTTGACTCAGGGTGAAGACAGGGGACACCTGGACAGGTGACAAACAAGCACTCTCACGCCTACGGACAATTTAGAATCACCAATTAACCTCAACATGTTTTTGGACTGTGTGGGAGGAAGCTGGAGAACAGGACCCACGCTGCACAGGGAGTAGATGCAAACTCCACACAGAAAGATCCCAGGCGTCCTAACCAGGACATGAACCGGGATCTTCTAGCTGTGACGTGACCCGTGCAGCCACCTCTGACTGATGATGTTTTTTGTATTCTTCTATTTTATGTTAATGAATTTAGCTTTAGCTTTAGCTTTAGCACCAAAAGTCACAAATATGATGCAATAGCTAAAATAAGTGATCGTATCCACACTGCACATCTGGACACTGCAAGTTTACACCATTCTTCTTAGTGACCTGCTCAAACTCTGTCAGATTACATGGATACCATGACTGAACACTTTCTAAGTCCAGATACAAATTGGACTGAGGTCTGGGCTCTGACTCACACTCAGGAACATTCACCTTGTTGTCTGTATTCTATTTCTGTGTAGCTTTGGCTGAATGCATTTTCAACAGTTAAAACACAAAAATGAGAAGATCTTTTCATTTAATGTGTCGCTATAAGTATATTTAGTATACTTAACAGCAAAACTATATGTAGCCTATTAGCCTAGCATCCACATCTTTGCTGAGCATGTAAGCTAGGCTACTTGTGTTTCGGTGCATAGTTTCTTTAAACCATAAAACTCTACAATAACTTTGAAACAGTTACTAACAATATCCTGTAAAGAAAACATGACTTAACATACCTGCTAGCAGAAAACAATGTTGGAGGTGAGGTTACTTACTTTTGGTTGAGCTAAAACATTAGCTTCTTAATTCCTCCACACGGGCAGCTAGCTAAAGAACAGTCGCCCAGTTTGTGTGTTGCTGTGGCTAATGTGTCTAAGTGTCACAACTTAGTTGTAGTCTTTGTGTGTTGTTGTTGTAGTTTTATGTTTCGTTTGTCAGTATTATTGTTTTTATCTGAGGTTGTTGGAAGTCTGACCTGTCCTTTGACCTCTGACCAAGTGTGGTGCAGTTTTTATTTCCAGACCATTATTTCACACATTTATGGGGGTGGGGAGATATTAGCACAGATAATTAGCGCCTTTCCAGATTTTTTCCAAGTGAACTGTAAAAGAAGCACAGGATATTCAGTATTTCCTTTAAGTGATAATACTTTAGTAATTTAGGTATGCAAAACAATGACATGGCTTGTTTGTTTCTGTATTAGTAAACATCACACAACTCAAATCAATAGCTGGTGTAACCACTTTTACCTTTTAAAGCAACACAAATTCTGCAAAATGACACTTTTTGAATTACGCCACTTGACAGCAGGTATCTTTAAAGTCGTTCGGTGGATTTCAGCTTCCTATCTTCCTTCTTAAACCAGTAACACATCTTTAAACCCTTTCACCTAATCAGGTTAACTTAAACTCTGATCTCAACTTTCTTAAACCAAACCTAAACCAAAACTACATTTTAAACTAACCAACAATCAAACATTACAGGGTAAAATGGATTTTTCATTATGTTTTGCAGCCTGCAGTCAGTGCTGCAGGACACTCCTTCTTATAAGAAATATTCATTTTCAGTTTGGCCCTTTTGGCCAAGTAAAGTTCATTACAACTTTCTTGCATTTTTTATGTGATACTGACAAAAAATGCTATAAAACTTTGTGTCCTATAAACATTATATTATATTTGCCCCAACTATTAGGAGCATTTAATAAACTATAGTGTACTGATGTTCATTCAGATGAACTCATCAACTCCATTAATCTACTATTCTTCCTTATGTTTCAACATGTTGATTTATCTCTTTGTAATATAGCCCCAAATCAGGATCTATTCACTCATACATATATTTTCTAACATTAACAGGAATTAAAGCTGCCAACACTCTAAAACCACACATGCACCTTGTTTTAAATGCATCTTTGTTGTTTATTGTAATATTAAAGACCCTCTCCACTGAAAATCATGTTTTTTTTTTAAAACTGTTTTTAACCATGCTAACATGCCCACATGATTCTTTTTTATATACTGGAAGACACTTTATGTGTGAAATGAGCAGTGAGTGTTATGGCTGAGTATTTCCATCTTGAAGCTACACTATGACAGTCCCAAAAACACAGATTCAGACTTCTAGGGATTCATATGTCACAAACCTAGAGAACCAATCATGCACTTGTAGGGTGGGACTTTCTGTCATCACTCCTTATCATAATCGGTTTTCAGTTTGTACATTTATAGCTGAATTACAACTAAATACTTAACTTTAATACAAAAGAAATGAGCTTTAAATCTCATGCCAAAGCCTTACAGAGTTTCCTGTCAGTTTTAATTTTAGGGGGCAAACCTGAATTGAAACAAGACTAGAATTCAACATAGCAGCAAATCTATCATAGAAGAAACATAGAAATGTTAAAAATGATGAGGGGGGAAACCCACATTTTCAAGCATTTCATTCAAATTCAAAGCTGACTTTCCTTGCAAAACTATTTCTTCATTTTTTATTGTATTTATTTGTTTGGGTTCACTTGAGATGATTCTATTTACAGCAACATGGAGGCCATTTCATCACTGACATATACACAGTGCCGTGGGAACATAATAACAATAATAATGTAGTGTGAGCAGTCAGGACCAGCGCAGCTTCTTCATCCAGCATGAATGATTCTTTAAAGCACATCCTTCAGTGAAACCTTTTTTTATTTTCAGTCATCAACCTGTACAGAATGAACAATCATCAAAACTAAATATATTTAGCGTTTAAGAATAATGTTAATTTGTTGTGTCCGATGAGAATCACTGTACAGTAGTATACTTTAAATATGTAACACAGCACTAGACCTGGAGTATTACAATTGAGTTCTTGCCTGAAACAAAATCTTTTCAACAAAAAAAAATCATAAACAAACATGAATACATTAAACAAACAAAACGTTGATTGTTCTGCAAAATGTATAAAGTCGGGATCGGAAGTCAAAAGATAAAATATTAATGTAAAAATCACTTTTTAACAGGCTTACCATACAATTTACAATAAAAATACAATATAAACTGTATTATTACAGCACAGCTGCCGGCATCTTTGTATTATTGCCACTCTATCCATTAACTGAATGAAGAAGAACTAAAACAAACGAACTGTAAAGCAACAAATATTTTTCGTTGCTTACAAAAAAACTCAACTGTTAGGTGTGCTGAGCATTTGTAATAGCTGTAGTTTGTTTTAAATAACCTTGACTGGTAACTGACTGTTTTCTTTTCACATTCAGTCCCTTTTTGATTGTTGGGCACTAAAATGTTCACAACTTCAGTTCGTTTCATCCATCTGACTTATGTCGTGGGTCAGACAGCAAATGTTTCACTTGGAGACTTTGTCAGGAACGAGTTCAAAGTCACTGTTAAAATCCCATTCCTCTCAAAGGCGCTGTCTGTTGTTGTATCTGTAAAAATAAACAAAAAAAAAAACACATGATTCCTTTTGCAAAATCTTTACAGGTTATCTCAGATACAGTGCAGGAACTCTGTGACTTACAGGGATTTTGTTGATGTGAAGTTACCACAATCATTTGATTTTTAAACACCAAAGCATCAAAAATGACCCCTCTTCATTAATGATATATTATAAATGTTTAGAAAATTGGTCAGATCAAACCCACATTGTAGTGAATGTCACAGTTAACACAATTAATATGGATATTAGTACAACAGTGTCTCACCGGTGATAAAAACAGGGTAACGAGATGATATATTCTGGACCTGCAAGCGGACCAAACATGTGAGATAGTCGGGCTGATCTCTTGACATCAGGTCACACTCATGGTAAGGCAACACCTCCAGTATTCCTGTGTCCTGGCCCCAGTTTAGGAAGTCCTTCTTCTCCTTTGCCTCCGCACTCAACCTGCATTCAGGAGGTGCAAACTTAATGATCAGAAAGGCAAGATTTCAACAGAGACGGCACAATCTGCAAGACAAAGCCTGATTTTTTTTCAAATGGTTAAAATAAATCATAATAATAAAAGCCAAAATAATCATCAGCAAAGGGCATTTTATGGAGTTTGGTTTGTATTTCAAAAACAAATTTCCTCTACACTGATGAGCCATCCATGCCGGATGCGCTTTCGGTCCTTCAGTTGCTGCCAAAACAACTCAGATTCTCAGAGACAAGGACGTGCAAGACCTCTGTGTCCCGTGGTATCAGACACTATGAGGTCAGCAGCTGATCCTTGAAGTCCTGGAAGTTGTGAGTAGGAGATGCTGTGGATCAGACTTTTTCCAGGACATCCCCTCCAACACCCTGTGGGCTGATATGTAGTTTTTCCCTCCTTATGGTAGGTACTCACCATCCTCCGTCTCTGCTTTGACCCTAGTCAAAGTTGCCGAGGGCCCATATCCATGCTACCTGACAGAACTGACTGTCCACTCATAAGTTAATACCTCCCACCTTGACAGGTGCAGCAAATTTGAATTTTCCTAATTTGTGAGTGGTTATAATGTTTTGGTTTTTCTGTGTACGCTTATAATGGAAATTCAACTTTGTATTTCATTTTTTTCTCTCAGTTTATGGGTTGTCTAATTTTTAAACCTCTGTGCAAGGCGACCACTGGTAGTAGGTATTGTGTTTTTGGGTTGTCTGTCCGTCCGTTCTGCTGAACAAGATATATCAGGCAAAACTGGGAATTTCCTCTAATCTGGCACAAACTTTCATTTGAACTAAAGGATGAACTGTTTGAAGTTTGGTGGTCAAAGTCACAGTGACCTTAGAAAACACATTTTCACCATTACTAAGTTAGAGAAGGAGAGAATGTGACCATTTTCACATTTGGTTTGAATACTGAATTGGCGACACCAATCCTGAGTGTCCACCTTAAAACTGCCATGATTGTAGAGATCTTCTGTGTTTCCAGGGAAGCATCCATGTATGAGAATTTGTAGCTTCTTTTCAGCAACATCCGTATTTGAAGCAGTGTCTGCTGTCCTGGCCACTACTTTGTGGTCGATCACAATCAGCTTTATCGTCCTAACTTGTGAACACAAGCAAGGGATTTGACTCTATTTTTGTTTCTCTCAATGAATTTACACACCTTGTAGTCTTCACTATATGCATTATATAAGTCTGGACAGACATGGATGTAAACTGCAACGTGACTGATTGGTGGAGCTTTACAACCTTGGTGGTGACTCTACTAGTCGTAGTGCTTCTATGCACCCTGATTTGATTAGTTTTGTTCTATGTGTTCTTTCACTTGTCTACTGATTTGTATTATATCATATCTATTGGAAAAGTTAATAAAACAAGAAATACAAAAGAGAAACGTGAATAGAACAGCTGCCAACAGGCAAATTAGGTTTTTGTAGTCCCTATCCAGAACTGATACTCACCTTGCATTTTCTTTTAGTCGACGACTGTCTCTGTAGTGCAGCATCCATTTCCACTTCCCTGTGCTGCTTAGTTCTTGCAAGACTTCAGACAATTTTTTCATGTTGCCTTCAAATTCATATAAAGTTGAAGTAATGAGTTAAACTCATACTAACATGACAATACCTCAAACACCAAAAAGCTGGTAAGCTGTTATGTGCACATACACAGACTGAGATGCTCCAGGGTTGCTCCGTCAAACATGATGAAACCACCCCGTGTGAAGAGCTCCTGATGGGTGAGATTTACAACATCATCTGGTTCATCAATTCCAGCAAACATCACGCCCTGTGACTTCTTCAGCTCAAGCAAACGAGGGACCTGAGTAGCAGAGAGCCGAGGCATTAAATCATGATCACCAAAGTCCTGCTGTGAGCTTTTTAAACCAGCTGATCTGTTACCTCGCAAATGTGCTCGGCAATGTCTTCATTCCTGAGGATGATGAGCAGCGATGAAGAACTTTCTTCACAGAGGAAGAATTCAGACGGCTGCACAGCAGTGTGGCCCTCAGCCTCTAAATGTGCCTTGTAAAAATGAAAGAGAAAACACCCAACCTTTAAAAAAACATCTACATTTGCAAGTCTCAAGTCCATTCAAACACAGGCCACTTTTAGGTTAATGACCATGTAATAAATAATGCACTAACAAGCTAAAGGCCAAATCTGCTTGCTTGAAAAGTAACAATAACATGTTTGCAAAGTCTCAAGCCAACCTGCTCAGGAAAAAATTGATTGACATTTTTGGGTTAACATTTCAGTTCTAAAAAAAAGATACTGCTCATTGTGTGTTATTTTGATTAAATTATCTCAAAACATTTCAGTACATTTCAATATGACTATGGCATGTATATGGAGTGAATCTGACATAGAAGCAGTGTGTTTGGCCATGTTTTGCAGTAAATATTTCTGTAGAAACACTGATCATACGGATGGACGTAAAAGTAAAGGATTATGCTGCAGAAGTGGCTTAGAAGTGTGCATGGACAGTTTGATTAGATTTCTCAGTGAGAAACAGATGAACCTATGCTCACTGTAACTTTCACTGTCAATTCAAGAGCCTACATTATGCTTTTGGGGGGTTTTCCTTTTCATTAGTATTTTATGGTTTTTATTTGGATTGTTAGAGGTCTGCAAATTCACAAGGAACACACCAACGGTGTTTTTCTCTCTCACAGGAAACACTGCTCCTTACTTGCCTGGAACACCTTGCTTAAAATCCAGGCATTTATTTACACTATCTATTTATGTCACTATGTCTAATATGGGCTCTTAAAAGATCACATACTTTCACAAACAACAACTTTGTATTTGCACCTTTCATGCATCAGTTAGAAAAAATGCACTCTCTAAGTAGTGTATCACTGAAAACAAAATAGTTATTAGAAATACGACATAAAAAGCTGAAGCTCATCTTACCTTGGTTTCTTCAAAGAAGACATCGTCTGACGTCACCAGTATGTAGAATCTGTACTTTGTTTTACAGGACTTCTTCACGACTGAATTCAGACTACTCCGAAAGGCCTCATCCATTTCTCTCTTCATTTGATTGCAAAAGTCAAAATGGTTACTTGGTTCAGTCTTATCTCGATCCATTCTGCAGCCTTTCGGTTTGGACTGGACCTTGTCGACAGCACAAATGTCTTGCATTGTAGCTTCATACTGCCGGGCACATTCTGCAGTGATGCCAGAAACCCAGGCACTTTCCATTGGGTTGCTTGTTCCCTGAGGTAATTCTCCAGGATGCAAAGTCCTTTCTTCCTCCATGGTGTCCGGCAGGTCGTTCCTGTCAGACATGTCCACCTTAATTTTCTGTCCAACAATTGACGTGTCCAAGTGATCCAGAAAATCGTCCTCTTCCTCTAGACTGGAAAAATGGACCGTCACAGGACTAGTGCAAGACACCCTCAAACTGTCATGAGTGTCCTGTTGGCAGATGGCTTCCTTGTTACTCTTTTTCAAAAGCTGTTTCATTTTTTCTGAGAAGATGAGGCACTCTTGTTCCACTGATGTGCGAGTGAGGTCATCTTGAAGGCACCTCTGAGAAAGTTGCTCCAGAAAAGTGGAAGATTCCTTCTGGCTGGTGTTAAAGACTGTGCATACGAGTGAGCTTTCAGGACCCAAGGCGAGACTGTCATCTATTATGCTATTATTTTTAGGACCCATAAATGAAGCTGATGGGTCTGAGAAGTCGATCTGATGCATCTCAATCTTCTTTTTTGTTGCTCGGTCAACTTTCTCAGCTGAACTATAGGTGAAGAAACCTTGGTTCACCTCAACAAGTTTAGGGGAAGTTTTTGCGGATGCTAGAGATGAAGATGGAATCGCGGTGAATTTGGAGACGTCCCTTCCCTGGTGCTGATGTGAAGGATCTAGATAGGCAAATTTAACTTCAACTGAGTTAGGTTTACTGTGACTAACATTTGGTTGCCAAGTACTTTGGGAAGACAGCTCACTGGTTTCATGCTTATCATCATGTAGTCTTTTAGAATTCCCCCTTGAGGTTGCTTTTCTCTTCGTTTCCAAGAGCTTGGAAATTGTTGAGGCGTATTCGAATACAGCGGTTGTAGTCTGTTTATTTTTGGCAGCGTTTTCAATGTGCACATCTTTAGATGAGGAACCTGCTTGACTCTCCTCGGTCTTTGATGGTTTCACAGCCATGACAGGACGCTGACTGTATGGGCGGGGCTCATGAGTTGCTGCTTTAAGCCTATCTTGGTCTATGTTTGGTTTCATCACTTGCTCAGTAGAAGGAGAAGATGTGTGGGAATGACAATAATCTTGTCCTGCAGGGGATTCTTGCTTATCAGGTCTTTCAAAATAGTTACATGACTCTGTTTTATCCAGCTGCAACCTAGCATGTATTGCCTCTAATGCATTTTCAAAAGGTGGTCTATGAAAGCAATCTGATAATGCTGCATGCGGATCCTGCCTGTTAGAGGTTGCTGGCTTTTCGTTGCTTATTTTCTTGTTTTTAAAGTCAGCTGAGGTGTGGCTTAGGGATTGGCCAGTGGGGATGCACTTGCTGTGGTGGTTTGGGGTTGGGTCAACAGACTCTGGTATGTCAACTGTTTTGATCGGTCTAGATTTGCCAGTGAGGTTCGATTTGGAGAGGAACTTGTCTATACTTTGTAGAACTCTTAGAGTCCTTAGTTCAAGATCAGGATGACGATCATGATGAGGGTTGGGATCACTTTTAACGGTAGAAGTGTGACACAGGTACTGCGTAAAAGGCGGTGCGTCATTTCTAGGCGTTGAACGCCTGCCAGGAGCTTTCTGAGTAATGTTTTTGCAGGTTTCATAACCACTTACAGCAGAAGTGCTACGGCTAGGGGTACAAAAAGGTATGTACCCAAGTGGTTGTTCATCCATAGTTGGAGTAGGACACCTGCTATTAGACTCACTTTTTGAGATTAATAGCTGGTTGGTTTCACCTGCATTACGAATCGATAATTTGCAAGGAGGCAGTTCTACTTTAATTTTAGGCGTACTGCACACCTCACTGGGCAGAACAGCTTCAGGGAAGGTAGTTTCACAGATAAATGGTATTTTTTCCTGTCTTGAAAAAACGTCTTGAATCTTGTCTTGTGGGTGTGAGTCATGTGATTGCATGATATCATCTCCAGAGGTTGCTATTCCAATAAATGGAATATAAACCCCGCTGCAACTTTTGTCCAAGCCCTCGTTTGTTTTATATATTTGGAGATCTGCTTCTTCAGTAAAATCCACTTCTGTCTCACACATTTTTAGAATTTGAGGTAAGTGAGACTGGTGTTGAAATGATTCTTTCTGAGATGTGTTCTCAACCTTTTCCTCTCCCTCAGTTGACTTGCTTCCATGGTCACCTTGAGCATTACAACATAAAGCAAAACTGAAGTGAGATATTTCAGTGTTTTGGTTTTCCATTTCCACACTGCCCTTTTCCCGGGGAACAGACAAACCAGCAGAAGACCCATCTAATGAACTTGTGCCCTCATCAGACATGGGTAATGCAGTTTCTGAATGTTTCTCAGCTGCTGGATCATTATTAATGGGTTTCATTTCTGATGGAGTGTGACTGGCTTTTTCTGAAATGGCACGTTCATCTGTCAATGCAATGTCACTTGCGCATGGCATCTTCAACAGTGAGTCATGGCAGACAACTTGTACACTGTCTGCTAGAGGTGGTTGCTCATCCAGTTGTTCTTGATGATTACCCTCTGTTATGCAGTCCGTGTTCACTAGATCTGATTCATCAGACATCACTGGTAATGGCTGATCACTCAAGTCTTTGTCAGCATCCACAGCTGAAATGCGACTGTTTTTCTCAACAAGCCCATCTTCTTCTCTCAAGCCATCTTCATCTTTCATTACTTTACCTTCACAATCCTTATCTCCATTACCATTTTCAGGCCGGTCTGGTGAGACTGCTTTGGGTTTCTCCTTTAACGACGGCTCCTCATTGTCTGAACAATGTCCATTGCAGACAATATTGGATTCTTTGTTGGCAGAATCGTCCCTTGTGTGAATCACTTCAAGAGAAGTATCTGCATTGCCTTCATGGGATGCATCTTCTTTCACTTCACAATTTTCCCGATCTTTGGATTCATCTGCATGAACTACATCATCTGTGTCCATGTTGGAGTCTGTTTCTTTGTCAGTCACAGACGAGAATGAGCCCAATCCATCTTTTTGTGTCGTCTGCGTAGTTTCAGGACTTTTTGTGCCATCTTTCACATCGGTGCTCTCTTTGCTACTTCCATGCAACACTTTGCCGATTCCTAAAGCAGTCTGAACAGTTTCTGGCTCAACGGATTCACTTTTCGTCTCTTTTCGTGGAGGGGTCATCGTCCCATCATCCCTTAAAGATGGAACATCAGTGTGTTCCAGGCAGACAGCTTTCTGAGGACTACAAGTCTTCTCACTTTGATGGATGCTCCTTTCATCCTTCACCTCACTGTTCATCTTTGAGGAATGGATCATCTTTCTGTAACACTGGAAAAGAAAGTGTAAACAGAATAAATTATTGGCATATTACAAACACTAATGTTTATCTGTTTAACTTTAACGATGATTTTTCAAAGTCACTTGAATGGCCACTGATGCGCCAGAAATTCAAACAATGAAAAGTGTCAACACAATTGAAACAGTTACATTTGTATTAGGTTGATAACTAACTAGAAACGAGTGTCAATGTAAATAAAATTACGAGGCCATATCATTGCTGCCTGATAAATATTATGAAGGAAGGGTATGCATGTCCATGTGCACCCAGCAGCTGTGTTATTAGCAAAGACAGTTCTTTATAGGATCTATCATTATATGAGTGAGCGTATCAAGCAATCTTATAAAGACAGCAACAGGACAGAACCGCTCTACCCTCAAGAGAGAAACTAGGGCTTCACCTGGCCTGCTGCCCCCACTAGTACATGGCTAGTTGGGCAGAAGACAAAGACATGGGTCTAACTGAACATTACCCACTGACAAAGGCAATCAGTATGTGGAACGTCACATCTGGCGGAGGAGAAGATGAAGCTTGTGCATGAGGCTAAACAGCACCAGCTTCAGCACTGTGCAAATATTTTAGGTACTTCAGATTTTCATTCCATCAACCACCGACTGTCGGATCAGTCCCTAATTATTTCTGTAGCATGACAACAACCACAAGCATATAGCCAGGGTTACAAAGAAACATGTTCAGGGACAAGAAGAAAAAGGAGTCCTGCAACAGATTGTCTGGTCCCCAAAGAGCCATGACCGCCACATCATGAAGTCAGCATGAAAATAAATGAAAATGCAGAAGACACTAAGACACACTAAATCTGAAGAACTGTACCAATTTATCCAAAATAAAAATAACAATCTGCCTGTCAAGTTCCTTGAAAAACTGTGTAGATCTTCCATGGCAAACTGGTGCTCTTTCAAAGGCAAAGGGTGTTCACACCAAATACTGTTTTATGTAATGAACAATTAAAAACAATTCATGACATTAGTTTTAAAAGAATTTTCATTTGACAATTGGCCCTCAAAACTTTTACACATTAATGTATATGCAGATGTCCTCATGCTCCTTGACTGAAGGTGGACTCTGTCCGTCTATGATGCTGTGGTTCCAGGGTGTGTACACAGTCACATGTATCTGTATGTAAGCTGATGTGTGGGCGTTTTGCCCAGAGATTCAAAGGACGGGTCACCTGAACATAACTGTTTGACAAAGATAAAGGCTTAAAGTATCCTCTCTTGATCCTTGTAAAGAAATTTATCGTCTTTATTTAGCCCATCCTCAGTACTAGTAGAAGTGAACAGTCCTTGTGTGGTGCCTGGGGATCAGCTTCAAATCCAAAGCAGTGTCATAGGCACTTGTAGAGAATTAACCTAGCATTTAGTCCTAGTAGACATCTGCACAAGCTGGTGTAGAAACTAGAAGATAGACAAAATAAACCTAAATGTGGTGGTGAACTGAACTCTGAATTTAGTATTTCCTGGGGGAGCTGGGAACTTGAAGTCTGAGTGTAGAAACAACTGTTTGGAGATGGGGCTGAGACTGTCTGAGATGATTTAAGGCATGATATTGTTACTACTATTTAGATACCATAGAATTCTGATGGAAAACAGTGGATTGTGCTTTTCAGCTAAACTGTGACCTTGAATAATTCTTTATTGGAAGTTCCCTAGTTAGGCCAATGATCGTGTGCCTCTTACTCGTGTGCCTTCATGTTTGTCAACAAGCACAATAACCTGGCTTTTAGATTGTTCTACATCCTTAGAATTTCTGCACATCATGACAAAAACATTCAGTGGATTCTAGTTTATCTTTAATGGAATAGTAACATTAGAAGCAAACCTGAAATGTGCTTGGCTCATGTAGTTCCACTGGTGGCTTTAGAGAGGTCAGTGATTTAACAGCTTCTTTCTG